AACGACAGGCTAGCGGCAGTGTTACTGTTTCTGACTCTCGAGCCAAGTCATGACGACAGTCTAGCGAAATTGCGGCGCTGTTTTTCCTTCTTTTCCATTCTCGAACCCTAAACCTAATAATATAACTCAATTTCTACAATTTGCAACCTACTCCTTGACTTTTACAACATTTTAAATTTAGTCCCTTTTGTTCACAAACTTGCCAATTACATCAAAAACCTAACATGTACAAATCAAAAGAACCAACCCCAAACCCTCAATGGCTAGTCAAAGTTACTTCTATGAACCGGACGTCCCCAAACTAAAACCAACACACTCTTCTCACGGATAGAATCACAGAGACTCGGAATCACAAAGAAACTAAAGAGATCAATCAACCAGAAGTTGAAGATCGAAACAGAGAAGACAAAGAAATGGAGGGCAAAACTCATAGAAATGATTCCAGAACCCACCCAAAGAAATATACGGCGCAAAAGTGAGTAGGGAAAATGCATATGGCTCTAATTTATACAATCCAACCATTACCGTAAATCTCAAGTGGAATCAACGGTTCAGAGCAGCAAACAATTTCTCACCACTTAGAGGCAACTAAAGTCGCTCTTTCAAAGTGGGACTTTGGCCATTTATTGGGCTTGGGAATTGGGCTTATTTCTTCATTGAATTATCAAGCAATGAAAATATAAAACCGGCAATTGAGCTTAGCCTAGTTTTCATCATAGCCCAATTGTTTGGATTGGATTTTGGCATCACAGCCCAAACAAGCACTTATTTATTTCCAACAACATGCATGTGATTTATATAAGGTACTTAGTATCCGTCATGTACAAGATCAGAAAAAGTTCCAAAAGATGACTGTATTTGGAAGTGTACAAGTTGCCAATTCTCAATCAATATTCTCGTGGAGGAGTTCACAACAGAGATTTTTGCGCTAGACTTTGAATTAAATAGCTATGTTTTTAGACGTATAGCAGTTTCAGATTCTTTTCGATCTACGAATGTAATAACATTGTATTATTCATCTACAAGTAATTAAAAATGTGAATGCATAGTTTACTCAATCGCAGTGCCATTACTCGATAGCATGAATTGCTAACAAGTTGGAAATATTTGAGGAAAAAGGGGAAAACATATTTGTGAGATGTTAAGCAAGAAAACAAAGAGTCGGGTGATTGGGTTGGATCTTAAATATAAACAACTCTAGTCATAAGTTCTGTTTGGCAATTGTATGATGGGTTAAGTCATCTATAGGTCACAATGTACATCAATATTTGATACTATATATCAAACATGCTTTACATTCACGATGACATAAAAAGTTATAATCAAGTAATCACGGACAAGAAGATTCATTATTTACCTAAGGATAATTATATTCACACCATAAATTTTATTTGAACCACATTTTAAAGCCCTCCATCTTTTCTCATTTTAACACTTATACTTTTAACATTTTCATCAAATTTTTATCTTCAACCTTTTATTAATTAACACAATTTGTTCTTGATAATGGTTTCTATCGAAATTTTCTATTTGAACGCTATTTTTGAAAAAATAAAAAACAAAAAATTGATGAACATTAAATCATTTTATGCCCTCCAAGTATCATTATTAGAGGCAAAATAAACTAATTAATAAAAAATCAAGGGTATAAAGCTATAATTAGAAAGTTGAACACAATTAAAACATGATGTAACTAAGAAAAATTATGGTGTAAATTTACCCTTTACCAAAACATTATGCCCCAAAAAAAAACATTTTTGGGCCTTGTCCTTCCACATTTATTTTTGCATATTCTTGGGCTTTCCAAGTAATGCACCATTTATTGCAATCCAAAGCACTAATAAACACAAAACTATCATAAACCTCACTCACACTCTTGTGGCATAGGGTAATTAAAAAATAAATTACACACTCTTAAATTACAGAGACTATAGAAGAATCAGAAACGTCGACCAAGCGTTTCTTGTCATCGGACGAGCAATAATTCCTGATGGCAGTGAGTTCATAGGGCGACGTATCGGTGGCTAACCACTGTTCTACCGTAAACTTTTCTTGGGTACACTGCTTGTGAACTCCAGTGGTGGTCACCTCCACATAGTTAACGTACCAGCCGTGGTGTGGGCCAGAGCCGTCGGAGGTGAGGTTCATGTTACAAACTGGCCCAGTCAAACATGGACCTCTTCCACTAAAGATGTCCAAGTTTCCCCTCTCAAAATAGTTGTAACCTGGGCCCATAAGCCCTCCCCATGACTCGAGATTGTTGATTCTAATTCCATAGCCATCCGCATCATACAGAGTCAAGCTGATAATAGAATCAGTGCCACCCTTTATGATTGAACCGGTTCTTATATACACCGTGTACACACAATCTGGATCATCCTGCATGAAAGATTTGGAAACTTTAAAGCAGAAGTTCTAAAAAGATTGTTTAGTCAAATTAAATATACTAAATAAGTAGCTAATATTGGGTAGAGAAAACTTGATTCGAAAGAGTGACTTACTGATTTACAGATGGAGAAGATGGATATGAGGATGAAGAGATGGAAGCAAAGGTTGAATCTTGAAACTCCCATGGCTTCTTTGCGATTTTCTCTTGATCTAACTCTCTCTATAAATTTGTCAACGGTCTATAAAATATAAGGCGGATGAACCGAGTTAAATTAAAGACAAAATGTACGTTAGAGCATAGATTTTTCCAGATAATGCACGTCCACTGCAGAAAACTGAGCTTTGCGAGTCACTATGTAATTGGTGGATAGGAGGATCAAGAATTTTCGAAACATGCTCATCGTGTATTTTATCATCTTTGAGAGTGACCTGGTTTCGATCATTTATTAAAATAGACAGGTAGATGGGAGTATTTAATTCATTGAGCAAATATAACCGGGAGTTTAGGTGAGGAATTGTGCAAATTTTAATAAACAGTTGGACAAAAGATTTGGACCTTTGAGGCATATTCTAATATCGTGTGAATTTTTTATTATTATTTAAAAAAAAATCCAAGTAGAAATTCAATGAATTTATTATTATTAATGATCACCGCGTTGAAGTTTAAGAGAAAGTTTGTGACCACATTTTTCATAGTCTTGTGTTATTTACTTATTTTTGGTTGCTTGCTTCGGAATTCTGATTGCTTTCACATTGAACTTGTGTTAAATTTTGTAGGATAGTGTTAAAATCAATTTAGTTTACTATTTTATTAGTGATTAACTGAAAATTGACATGATAGGTTGGGACTAATTTCAATTTATTTATTTAAATTCACTTTGTGTACACACTCTGAATGTTCATTTTCTAGTGTATTCCATCCAATAGATGGAAAAGAAAAAAGTTTAGAACTTTTCCAATATATATTCCAACTAAAGAAAATCTCAACTCGTCACTAAACAATGTAGGGTTTTGCTATTTGTACATCAGGTGTACACCCCTTCACAAAAGAGGGGACTTACATCCAATAAAAAATTCGTGTACCTCTCTATTGTGAGGGAGGCTGTAACCCTGATGCACACATAGCAAAATCCAACAACGTATGTAGTGTTCCCGTATTAGAACACAAAATTCTAAAAACCATCAAGAAACCCCCTATCTTACTGAAATTGCAGAGAATAATGGCATCATAGTAGACACAGCTAAATCCTTCAAACCCTACAAGCTCAAGTAAACTCTACCAGCTCATAAACGCGCTATATTTTCAGCGTTAAATTATCCGATGATGGATGCCTCCTCTACAACATTGGCCGCAATGGGCGAAATAAGATGAAGATATACATTGTAGGGTTGGGCGATCCGGGGGGTTTACATTTTTTTTTTCTTTTCTTTTGGCTGTAGTTAATTTTGAGTTTTATAGTTTTAGGGTATCTTTTAATAGGTTTGTTAGTTTGTGGGTAAAAATTAAAATTTGACAAATTATTTGAGAGCACATATCCTTTTTACACTTGAGGAAGTAGCATGGATGCGGTAGGCTCAACTTCCTCCACCTCCTTGTCTTAGTCGATTTTGGACTCGTACGCGTGGTCCAAAAAATGGTCTGGCCTATTTATATTTGCATCTAAAGAGGTGGGCCTAAAGTTTGTTTAATAAATCCCATCTTGGTAGATTAGGTCCAAATAATTCTATGGTCCATGGAGCACCACTCTTCTTATCATCATGGCAATACAGGTCTTTAATTGAAAGGTTCAATGAACTGTAATGATATAAGATCTATAGTTTTTTTTTTTAAACGCCTATTTTCGTATATGTGAAATTTTTTTAAGCAATACATAATTGCAATGAAAATGCTCAGTAATAAATAATATGTTCAAAGATATCTTCTTTCTTAATATGGGTTTGGTCTAATCGTGACAAGGCCACAAACCCGCAACTTCAGCCATGCACAGAGGCAGGCAAAAGTTGTGCTTTTATGGGCAAACGGTGTCATCGTTGGAGTGATGGGCACATGCTTTTCAGTACTGATCATTCGTATAAAAGTAAAACGAGAAAATTCTTATACAATAATAAACATGTTTTCAGGCACTAATCCTACGCAGAAAAATAGAATGTCACCATGACAATTGATAATCTTGTATTTTTATTATTCCATAGACTTTAAAAGGCAAGAATGCATCATATGAGTACCCCATAATAGGTAAGGAGACATACTAGGAAAATTCCCAAAGCCAAAACACAAGCAGATTTATTGACCATAAAAAACAACCTAAAATTTGGCACCAATTGGGAGTATTACAAAACTTTCGGAAAAAAATACATATTTCATTTTTGTTAGGGTTTTTCCTTTTTTTGGACACGTAAACACTATTAAAGTAGTTGCATTAAAAATGAATTGTATTTGCATCGAAGGTTTGGATTTGAAATATTATTAGCCTCTCCTTTCTCACAAAGCCAAATCCCATTCTCTAATCTTTTCTTATCATTCATTTTTCCATGCAAACAAACTTTTATATTTCTACGTACAAATCCTTGCTTGCCTCCTCCTCCAATTGTACACCGCTCCTCACCTTTTCATGGAGGAGCGGGACCGCCCGTCCGAGGATGGGAAAGATGAACCACCACCGTCGAACACCATGGCTTTAGTACCTGGACCGCTTCCCTTGGAAAACTCTGAAACCTACATTGTACAAATCCCTCGTGATCAAGTTTACCGAGTTCCACCTCCGGAAAATGCTAAAATCGTCGAGAGCTACCGCCGGCCGGCCCAACATCGAAAGAAGAAGACTAATTTTCGCGGATCTTGTTTGTGGATCATCTTGACCTTTGCCCTCATAGGCCTAACGGTGGGCATTTCTGTTGGAGTGATAATTGCTTTATACAACCCTAAATATCCGACTTTCTCTGTCACAAAAATTCATGTCAAGAATTTGGAACAATCCATTAATGGTCATCATGGTTCCGGCCACTCGCCGGAATACGACGTCACATTGCAAGCCCATAACCCTAATGAAAGAATGGATGTTTCTTACAAAGGAGCTGCCGGAAAAGCCTCCATTGAACTCAAGAAACAAAAAATTGCCCAAGGAGGAGTCCCAAATCTGACCCAAGATCCCAATAGCTCCACAAAAATTCCTTTGATCTTGCATGGCACAAAGGAGTCAATCTCTAATGATATGAAAAAGAGCCTCAATGGTAAAAAGCCAAAATCCATGCATTTGAAGATTGAAGTGCCTATGGAGGTTAAAAGTTGGGCCAAGACAGTGCAAAAGGACATGGCCATTACTTGTGATTTCAAGGTAGATTCATTATTAGGGAAAAAGACCAAGATTTTATCACAAGAATGCCAAACCAATTTCTAGTCAAATCAAAGAAACTGTGTAGAGAAAATCGAATTGGTAATAAAATCGTGTTCTTAATTTCCAGTCTTCTTATTACTTCCAATTTCTTTTAGTTTAAAGCGTTCTTTGTCTCAAATTTATGTTCTGCAAATCTTTCAAAAAAAAAAAAAAAAACACAAGACAGGATTGTTACATATTGAAATTATTGAGTTTTCAAATTTTCATGGCAAATTAGAGAAACCATGCAAATATTTCATATCTGCCATGCATATAAAATTCCTTTTTGACCTATTTCAGCGCCTTTTCTTTTTGTTAATTCTTTTCCCTTTTGCTTTCTGGCCATTTAATAGTTTCAGTAATTTTTACCAAGGGAAAGTCTTGTGTTATTTATTCTTAGTTTCCAGATTTTGACTTGTAATTCTATATGTGTAAAGAAATTTCAGATTTGTAGAGCTATTGGGTTGGGATCTTGGGCCTTGGTCCAAATCTTCGTCCTAGACTCCATGATACATACAGACATATTTCCTTGTACTCGAAAATAAATATTTGATAGATTATAATTTTATTCCGCGTGAATATTTGAAAAATAGTAATTAATTGAGAATAGATTTTATTTTTAGTGAAATATGACAAGTCTTTAATAAATTATTGATGTTTAACTATGGGATTTTTTTTAGTGTTGTAAATTAAATACATACACAAATATTTGTGAATGAAAATTATAACTCTACAATCCCTATTACACCCTAGAAATATAGGACTATGATTCTTCAAAAAATACACAAGAAATTTGACTCTTCTATTTTCCTCTCTTTTTCTTTTTAATTTATTACATTTAACCCATATTTGGTAGATAATTTTAAATCTTATTTTTTTTTTTCTCAAATTCATTTATACAACGTTTTTTTCAAGAAAGTAATTTTGTATGTGGACTCAAATCTTCCCTACTTTTTAACTATATATTCTTCAAAAAAAATCACTTTTACAAATCTTTTAAAAAAAAAAATTCTACATCAAAAGGCACTTAAAAATATAGCATAATTATATAACTATAAATGTTTCAAGTTACATTTTCAAAACTAACAAACTTGTGGATTTTTTTCAAAAATCAGGTGGTTAAAATTTGTGACCCCAGGATAAAAGTTTGGTTACATTTTGTGATCTTTGGTAAAAGTTTGTGACCAATAATTTAATTAATCATGCCACAATCACAAATCACTCACAAATGATGATTAAAGTGGCAAAAAAAAATTTGTAGATCACAATTACAAATTTAGTTGAAAATCACACAATTTTTAGATCACATATTATTTATTGGTCACAAATTGTTTATTTTATTGGTCACAATTATCCAAATAATTAGTCACAAACGCTCTTCGTCTCACCCCACTAGTCCACCATCAGCGACATCAATCAATGTCATTGCGACCTCACCACTACCACTACCACTTCCACTTCCACCAGCAACTCCTGTCACCTCACCACCACCACCACTACCACTTCCACCAACAACGACTGTTACCTCACCACCACCACCATAGATCATACCAACCATCACAACTATCGCTTGCACCCTATACTATACCATTAGTACCACCATCACACATACCACCTCACACTACCACCACAAATCATACCAACATCACCACCACCGCCTGAACCCTTCCCCCAATTCCATAGCATCCGTAAATAAAAATTACAACAAGTATGACAAATTGTATTGAACTACACTTAACAGTAAATAAAAATTGTGTATGTTTGAGCTCTATTTTCTAAAAAATGTATTTCTTTCCCAACTCAATTTCAAATATATATTCTTTCAATAAAATAATTTTGTACGTAAATTGAAAATCTTTTCCTACTTTTTAATCACATTTTAAAAGAAAATCACTATTACAAGATCTATTTCTCAAAAAAATAGAACTCAAACAAAACATTAATTTCTTTAATATAATATCATTCGGTATTAATCAATACAATTTAACGTATATCAAATATGCACTAATGTTCTTACATAATGAATCCTGCGAAATTCTTCTCTCAAGTTCAATCCACATAGAGTCTTTAAATTTTAGATGTTCTCTATTTTAACCTTTTGAAACCATATTTGTTTAATGGTCATTAACATTTAAAAATACATATTTATAATTTTTAAAAATAAAGTAAAATAAAAAATTAAGAGTTCGTTGGAGTGTGTCAAAAAACTTAGTTTCTATTATGAAAAATATGCTTTTTAAATTCGAAAATCTATTATAAATGCTCTTTTCAATTATTACTAATCATTGATGATTCTTAATTTCCAGTCTTCTTATTAATTCCAAGTTCTTTTAGTTTAAAGCGTTCTTTGTCTCAAAATTTATGTTCTGCAAATCTTAAAAAAAAAAAAACAGAAGACAGGATTGTTACATATTGAAATTATTGAGTTTTCAAATTTTCATGGCAAATTAGAGAAACCAAGAACATGCGTGCAAATATTTCATATCTGCCATGCATATAAAATCCCTTTTTGACCTATTTCAGTGCCTTTTCTTTTCGTTAATTCTTTTCCCTTTTGCTTTCTGGCCATTTAATAGTTTCAGTAATTTTTACCAAGGGAAAGTCTTGTGTTATTTATTTTTTAGTTTCCAGATTTTGACTTTTGTAATTCTATGTGTGTAAAGAAATTTCAGATTTGTAGAGATATTGGGTTGGGATCTTGGGCCTTGGTCCAAATCTTCGTCCCAGACTCCATGATACATACAGACATATTCCCTCGTACTCGAAAATAAATATTTGACAGATTATAATTTTATTCCGCCTGAAACCCACCCCCAATTCCATAGCATCCGTAAATAAAAATTACAAGAAGTATGACAAATTGTATTGAACTAGACTTAGCAGTAAATAAAAATTAGTGTATGTCTGAGCTCTATTTTCTGAATTTTTTTTTTTACAGCTCAATTTTAAATATATATTCTTTCAATAAAATAATTTTGTATGTAAATTGAAAATATTTTCCTACTTTTTAATCACATTTTAAAAGAAAATCACTATTACAAGATCCAATATCATTCGGTATTAATCAATACTATTCAACGTATATCAAATATGCACTAATGTTCTTACATAATGAATCCTGCCAAATTCTTATCTCAAGTTCAATCCACATAGAGTCTTTAAATTTTAGATGTTCTCTATTTTAACCTTTTGAAACCATATTTGATTTTAATGGTCATCAACATTTAAAAATACATATTTATAATTTTTTAAAATAAAGTAAAATAAAAAATTAAGAGTTCGTTGGAGTGTGTCAAAAAACTTAGTTTCTATTATGAAAAATATGCTTTTTAAATTCGAAAATCTATTATAAATGCTCTTAAGTTTCAATTATTACTAATCATTGATGGGTTAAAAGTTTTTCACAACTCATCGTCCCTTTTATTTTTTACTTGTCGTGTGGAAATCAGAGAGAATCAAGAAAAGTTGTTGGATGTTGATAATGAACTTGGGCATACGCGTTGTCCCATGTTCATCCATCACTAAATTTTTTGCTACAAATTTAAATGAGTTAAGTAAGTTCAAGGATGGAGGAGTTCTTATTTATGAAAATATGACGGAAAATTTCCAAAAATCGTGATCACGGACGGTCCTAATTTGGAGGGCACAAATAATATATTTGGACTCATTTTTGTTCCAATATCATCTGGCCTCCATAACTGAACCAGATTCATCCAGGGCTCCAAAGATCAAATTGTACATTGTTCAAATCGAGTGGGCTAAAATGCACATTCACTAAATATCATGAGCCAACTTAAACGACAATGGAAATTCAGGTATTGAAATGCTATTTAAACTTTGTGGACTAAATAGAATAGAGATTAATCTTTACGGACAAACTTGCATAGTTCAAAACTTAAGGGACTAATTTACACAATAACAAAGGTATAGACTCCAAAATGCAAAAAAATTGAATTTTGGGGACCATTTGGAACAAAACCAATGTTTAAGGACCAACTTAGAAAATTCGAAAGTCTGTGGGCTAAATGAAAAATACTTAAAATTCTAGGGACCACTTTACACAACATCAATAGTTTTGGGACAAAACTTCAAAATAGAAACTTTGGGGACTAGATTGATAACATATGACCGAGCTTTTCTGGAAGTTAATGGTATTTACGAGTGACATGAACGGTATGGGTTTCGATAATTGCATAGTTAATGTTGAAGATGATCCTCTATTAGTGGACGACTCGGGGTATGTACACTTCTACTTGCAAGTTCAGCGAGATCAAACATAACACCAATCTTTCCCTCTGCCATCTAGTGGGGCTCCATCCTATAGACATGAGCACTTCCCCATTTGTTAGTGATTTGAGTACACCTACTATTATGATCAAGATGCATATTGCACGAGATGTATAATGACTAGATCAAGGATACGCTCTCATGCATTGATTTATTTCTTATATTTTGTTGTTGTACTTCTCGTCTTCCTATAGGATTATTTACTATTTTTATGTTGGAGGTTTTGTCAACTTCCCTTTTCAAATGTAACCCTCTTTTATGTATTATTAATAAAATATCCGCGTAATATGATTTGAATTTTAAAAAAATGGTCCTTTTGACAAATGCAATACTATAACGTAATGGATAATCTAGCAGTTTGTACCAAGCCCAAATAGCATGTTGTGGCTTTATGTACAGTGTCATGCTACATGTACATAATACTTTATAATTTGGTTTACACCTCTGTGAGTTGGCAGATTTCGATACATTGATCTTAACAATACATTTTTCTATTAATGGCTAAATTGTTAACACATAGGAGGTGTCAACAAAGGTGTACACATTTGGATGCACAAATAGTTTTATCTTTATGTATAAATCGACTTTAGGTTTAGCATTTTTCCAAATATATTAAAGTAAAATAATATCTAAGAAGAGCAATGCTTATATTCTTAATGATAAAATTAAACAAAAAGACTTGTTCTTTAATGGAGAATAGTGATTGCTCCAGTAAGGTAGAAAATTTTAAATATGTG